GTGTGTCTTGAGTGTGGTACAACCATGCTACCACTGCAGCACGTGAATTTGGGGGGGGGGGGGTATGAACTTATTACAGCACATGCTGCGGCATGTTTATGCGCGCATGTCTCAGGTGAAGCTTTCCCTCTACTTTTCATTTCTCTAGAGCTCCGCTGGCTGAGAGTGTCGGTTACCGAGTCATGTGTTATAAGGGCTTTTGACGAGGGATAGGATCAGAACGCACTGAGCAAACAGGGCTGAGACGCTTTGCTTGTGTCAGCATGTGAGGTCCGTGTCTTGGTTTGTCAGCGCACCTCGCTATCCGCAAAGGGCAGAATCCTCGGGCTCACTGGCTCAGCCTATTCACAAAAATGCGCACGAGGCATCCATGGCATGTAGATGGTTTCCCAACAGTCTGCACAGCTAGCTATGAACTTGGCCACAAAGCAAAGAAGCCAGCCAGCCAGCCCCCGAAAGACACATCCCGACGAGCCTCTGCTTCCTTAGAAGATGTTCGAACCGCTAAGAAGATGGTAGAAAAGATAATCAAGGCATTAAGCCATCTTGAACCCGAAGCCCTCACGTCATGGCTTGGAGCAGAAACCTCAAACCAAACCCAAAACCAAACCTATACACCCCCAATCAAACCAAAACCCAAACCCCCCAACTTCAAACCCCCGGAACCTCCAAATCTGAAACCAAACCAGCAAACCCACCAAATCCAAACGCAAGAGCCTGAATCCCCAAAGATCGAACGAAACCTAAATCCCAAACCCTCAAATAATCAAACCAGAGACAGAACCCAAACCTCCAAGAGTCAAGTCAAACACGCAACCCAAACCCCAAACCACGCCCCCAGACTCAAACTCAAACGAAACCCCCGAACCAAAACGCAAGAAGACAAGCCCCCAAACCCCAAACGTCAAAGCAAACCGCTCAACCTGCATTCAAAATCTGAATCGTAGACCTCATCCCTCTTCAAAAAGGCCTGCAATCGAAATCCCAGGTGTTCGATGGAAGCCTACGATCTCCAAAGTTGCCTCAGTCTAACATATGGGTCTGAGCAATCACCAAGCGGATTTTCTTGTGTATTCAACGTACCCTAAATCATACCTGGATGTTGGGCATTTTTTGCTGTCTCTCCAAATTCTTATACTTCACATCTTGCCTGGATAGCATGTTGTTTTGACGCTTCAACCCAACAAGATTATATTGCAAAATAGGAAATACACCACCCAACAGAGAGTAGAATTTACTCGGCTTACCCTGCCCCTTTCGAGCCTACTGAAGACCCTTTATACAACAACTGCGGTCTTCGCGGGGTCGTTTTTGGGTGTCATGTTTGTTTCTGAATTGCACTTGCCTGCAGGGTTTGGGGCCTGGTTCCTGCTGGAAGCTTAGGAACACTGTCCAAAATGTTTGGCTTACCGGCGCTCAGTCCCTTGCCATCTAGCTGAAGAATGTAACCCCATGCTGCTTGAAACTGCCTAAACTTTACACCCTAAGCCTTCATCCAGAACTGACGCACCGCGTACCGTTTCCCTCCAGACTTTTGGAAGTCTGGCACGTTGAAGCCAGGAAGAAAAGGGCTGTCAAATACTGAGCTCGAAATGGTGACATACAAGCTCAGCAGCTGAAGTCAAAGACTCAACCCCAAAAAAAACTTAAGTGCGGAGGTGCTTGGAGTTCAGAATTTCGGGTTTAAGGATTAGGGCTGAGCTCACGCGGCCTAAAGCTTGAGCAGTCATTAACATTCTTCTCAGCCTGCCAAGCCCTACTCTGAACCATAAAAGCACAAACCTCTTAAGACTGGGCAAAGTATGACTATGTGAGCCATAATCTAAACTCCTAGTCCCTTAATGAGCCCATATAGAAGTCCCCTATAGAATCCCTATATAGCCCTCCTTTAAGGAGTTTAGACTATAGCTCGTCTGCCCCAAAGCTGCAAAATACAAAGAGCCAAGGCAACGGGCCGCAGAGAAAAAAACAAAACTGTAACGGCCCCAACCATGCCCCTCAATGTGTGCGACACCTATAGGATTTAGAACAGTTTAGGGTTTTAGGGTTTAGGGTTTGGGGTAACGCAAATATTAGAGCCCCCCCAACCCCTGAACCCCTGAACGCCTAAACCCCTAAACCCCTAAACCGTGGGGAACACAGCCCAGGGGCTCATAGTCTGTAGGAGATCAGTGAGCCCCGCATTGCCCAAGGAAGCCCCGGAAGACTCCTCAGGTTCAGGGCTTGAGGTAGTTGTAGGGTTTAGGGATTTGGGGTTGGGGGTTTGAGTGGAGATTTAAGGTTTGCGGTGTGGAGTTTGGGATTTAATCTTAAGTTGTATGAGTTCAGGGTGTAGAGTTTGTGATCAGTTGTAGGATTTGGATTTAGGGAGCCCGGAGAAAATGATCAATCTCAGGATTGACTTTGGACAAAACAGTCCCCAAGTGAAACATATCAAAGATCAAGTCTTCAATAGATTTTCGACAGCTTTCAATCTTCAATTGCGAGTGACAGCTGAACATTTTGCAATTCCAAAAACAGGAATTTAGCGATTGAAAGAACTGGATTTTTCCATTGAAAGGCTGCAACTCTGCGATTGAAGAAAAGATAGCTGCGACAGATCTTTGCCATTGACGTATCGGTCAACTTTGGCCATGAAAATCTCCCCCTGTGATCCTCCTGGTCAAGCTTTTGCATTAGTAGGGTGGGGTCATATAGGGTTTAGGGGTTAGGGTTTAGGGGTTCCAGTGGACAACATGTTCACAGCCAAGTCTAGAAATCAATGTATGTGTGTGCGGTTGAGCCCGTGAGTGCCTGCAAGGCTCTAGGTATTTTGAGAAGCAAGCTGAGCATGTAGTGGAATCAATGGAAGAAGTTAAAGTCATGGCTAATGCTGGTTCTGGTTTTTGCATTCTTGATGATGAAAACCCATAGCTTTGGATATTGAGACCCACATAAGAAGCACAGGAATCCTTCATAAACCGTTTTCTAGTTTGCAACTCTTACCCCAACCCTAACTGAAGTCTTCACCTTTGAATCCAACACAGCCCCACCCCGAACCTTCCACGTTTCATCTTATTTCAGCACACATCAGAAGCCAACTGGTTCGTACCGCCAACCCAAAGTGTGCCGTTCGGGGACTAAGGATTTAGGATTTCGGGTGTTGTCACAATGCGCTCATCCCAGTGAACTCCTCCGCCGGGCTGTTCGGAGACTCATCGCCAACCTGTCAGTTGGAGGTCTTTTGGGCGGTTTAGGACTCAGGGCTCAAGAGGGAGACTTCAGGATTTAGTCCCCCTTAAGTAGATGGAATATGGGGGTGTATGGGGACCTTACTATACTATACCCCAAAACCCATATTCCATCTACTTAAGGGGGACTGTAGGCTTCGGGGCTTGTGGACTGTTCAAGCTTGCGAGGTTTAGGAGTCATTCCCAAAGGGTCCATGTAGGAATATGGTATATACTTAGTGTCCAAAGGGGTTCCCATATACCTACTTTAAGGCCCAAGTATATACCATATAGCTACATGGACCCTTTGGGATTGTTCTAGAGGGTGAAGGGAAAGTTTGGCTTTAGAGGTCTGGGCTTAGGGTGTACCAGTCCGAGATTGGGCTTACTGTTCGGAGCTTTAGGGTAAGGCTTGTGCTTTAGTGTGCCTTGTTTAACATTCCACTGAGCTCGCCATGCACAGAAGGAAGATACAATGTTACTGTATGTTGGGAGTAGAGTACCCTTATTGCAAATCCTACTCACCAGTTCCTTTCTCTCCTTTTGTGTGTCCTTGTTGGGCGCCTTGCAAATTCAGCGGGATATCAAGATCTTTTGCTTGCTTAAGGTTTTGGACATCTCACCTCAGATTCTAGGGTCGTCCGAAAATTGGCTCATGACTATAGCCTTACTTACCACTTCCCCTTGCCAACCTTGAGCCCCCGAAATCCTAATTACTTACGGCCAGAAGATATAACAGGACCCAAAAGGGGAAGCCTTCCAAACGGTGACTTCCATAGAAGGGAGGTTGCCATGTACGCTCTGACAAACACATTCCTCAGTTTGGGCACTCTGCCGCAAGCCTTGAACACTAAATCCTAAACCGGAGAGCCCCAAACACCAAACATCTAACCTCTTCCCTGGTGAACCCTATTATAGCCCCAATATATCCTCAATATAACCCGTATAAGACCCCAATATAACACCCCATATAATGCCTTATCCCCTCCGTTGCCTGATCATCCTTTTCCTGGACGGCACACCAGGCACCTTCCCTTCGCTCCTCGATCACTGTGGGGTCCAAGTGCTC